TGCCCATGATACTGATGATACTCATGATGCTGATGATTACGACACTTGTCACTGATCACGAAGACCAAGTCATCACCATGAACCTGAAACCAATGAGTGAATCACATTTCTTCACAGCGAAGATGACGACTGTCAAGCACCTCAAAACATACCGTTAAACCAACTTATGCACCCTTGGCTCATGGATGGGTTTTTGTTAGGGGTTCACGCAATCTACATGCAACCAAGCAAGTGACACTTTAAGTCGGAAAAAATCTTTGACACCTGCCTATACACTTGGTTTTCCAGGTTCTTTTTCAGGCTTTGAGCTGCAGTAGATCCCAAACAGTTCTTAGTTGCCACAGGTTTGGAAAGCTGTATCAGGCACAAACAAATCTAAGTAAACCCCACATGCTCCATATATAGAAATTTTACCAGCATTTCCCCCAACCCTCACTGAAATCTGGGTAAGTTCATCCCAGCACCAGAAAAAAATGACCACGGTGCCATCCGACCAACCCGAGGGTCTATGCTGATTGATAGCCGTATCCAGCTCATTGGCGCATTGCTCCAGTACACTGGTGCTAGCGCCATATTTGAAGAGCAAGTGCAACATTGTCACCTGAAAAAAAAAAGGAAAAAATCATGGATTCTGAACGGGAAAACTGGAAATCCCATGGAATGGCATGACGAAAAATTACATGGTTTCCCTAGTTCGCTATAAACAAACTACAGATCTACGGGACATTAACAATGCGTTTTAGAATGTTATATGTATGTATATATATATATGGTTATAGTGAAAAACAAAACACGGGATTCCCCGGATTTTAACATTTTAACAATCACATTTGAGGAAATAGATACCCTATGATACCCTCTGGTAATTCAACAAAACTATGGAAAATCAGCATGTCTGACAGGTAAATCATCGAACTAAACCGGCCATGGCTTTCATAGCAAGCTGTTAAATTACTAAAGGGTAATGCAACAATGTTCGAGCTATCCAAAAACATAACGGAACACACCCCATCAATACTGCTTGGGAGCGTTCAAGCTTCTAGTTCTTAAGTTCTTCGATGCCCTAAATCACGCAAATTCATGCAATTTCAAGCTCAATCAATATATATAACTAACTTTTATACTTGGTACTTCAGTCCATGTGGGGAAAGTTGAAACTTCACGTTGCCGTGTTTGGTTTCCAGCGGTCGGCTTTTTCCAAGGCCTTCAAGATCTTTGACTTGAACTGATGGGCCCTGGGATGAGTTAAGTGGCTAATTATCAGCCACGTACTAGCTATCCACAAATGATTTCCCAGCTATAAAAACCTCCATTTCTAGTTGTTTTCCCCATATCTTCCTTTGTTTTTCCCATGCTGTCCCCGTTGTTTAATAAGGGATTTCCCATGTTCACATCCCATCAGCCAAGTCACAGATCCATGCACGGCAGCCCACAGCAAAGCACTACGGCCTTCGCTGTCCACGTGGTTCACCTGCGCACCTTCCTGGAGGGTCAGCTTTTCCGGTTTCACCAAAGTTACTCTGCAGAAATTTGGTTTTGAGCCTCTAGACATCAATAAAACGGAATAATCCACCATCCAAGCAATCCATTAAAACCATTTGAAACCCATTTCAGCCAATTGAAATCCGTCACAAGGTGATCCCATCCACCTTCACCGCCCAAGGTCCTGCAGGCATTCTGCCACCTCGTCCTCATCGTTCCGCTGCGCCGCGTTGAGCATGCGCTGATTCACACGGGTGATGGCCTCTTATGGATCAATTTGGTACAAGGTGGTGCCCCAGTTCGTTAGCTAAGTTGGTTTGTAACCCCAATAATATGGTAGAATATGGTAGATGTATCTATACTTTGGTGAATAACCCAACTTACAACTGGGGGGGCACCACCTTGTATCTGGGCAGCCGGGAGTGTGGAAATTTCATTGTGTCCCGAAGCTGATCGATTGGTTGATTGCTTCGAAAACATGGGTTGATCGCTTCTATGCCCAGCTGGTTGCGAGACCATATCCATGCTTCTGGAAATGAACGCATCCATGCTTCTGGAAATGAACGCATTCTGGCATGGTGTGAGTCGAATGATGCTTTTTTGAGTACAAAAGGGGAATTCGATCTGAATCCAAACCAACCAAAACAATGACCACCCATTCATCATTTCACTCGGCATTTCATTCGATGTGCGTTGCTCCTCGTATGGGACTTCATCAGTGTGCTTCGTCAGTGCGGCAGCTCCCAAAAAATAGAACAGTGATTCACCAGTCAATATTTTGGCTGGATTTTACTGTTGTATTCTTTTGGTATCTTTTGGGGGTTGCTATGAGCTTGAATGGGACATGCTGATACTTCCCAACATGGTCGGCAGCTGCTCAACATATCTCAACATTGCCAAGGTCAAAGAAGGTCAAAGGGCACGCGCCATCCACATCTCATCCCATGGCCAATCCCATGGCACTAAGCTAGCCTTCACCGTTTGGGCTTACCCAGATTTATCACCAAAGTGCTGGTTGATTCTCCCTGTATCTTGGTCGGCTATTGGGGGTTATCATCATGTGCTGTTCACTGGTTGTTCCATCATCTATCCAGTTGATTCAAATTTCACTACTCTGGCTAAATTTCATACTTCACCGACCTAAAAAGTTTGGCAATGTTGAAACAACTCACCCCAATCCAATTCCCATTGCTCCAGCGACCTTAGGTTCTATAGTTGAAGACCCAACCAATTTCATACACCCCGACAAGATATGATTCTACAATAAACACCAAATTAGGCATGATTTTACCATTATATACCATTATCGTTTCATAATCACCCCATGATTATCCAAATGCTATCCAAATCCAAATCCCATAAATGGGGATCGCAGTACTATATTATGGGGCTTGCCAGGATACATGTGCAGCAACCTCCCAAAAAATAGAAAAGTAATTTACCACTGTTTCAGTAGGATTTTCCCAACTTCTATCTTTTTGGTGGTTGCTATATCAACTACCCTCATCTACCCTCTGGTTATTTAACATAATTATAGCTATGGACATAGCCCATTTATATACGAATTATGATTATTGGTAACCCTCTATATAGATTGGTTTTTCCCAATCCGCTTTCAAACAACTTGGTTTTTGTCAATTTTGCAGAACAAATCTGCTCCGAAACGGTTTGTTAAAATCCGAACGCTTTTTTACGCCCCGTAATGCTTCGGAACGCTTTCTTACGCCCCGTAATGCTTTTCCTTGTAAAAAGACGAAATCATGCCATTTCAGATCTTGAAAATCCATGAAAATCCCTTCATTTTACCGTAAAATGTTAAATAATTTCAAATGGTTTTGAACGCTTTTTGAACGCATGTTGACTGCTCTTGAAAGCGGACACTTTTTTTTATGCAAGTTTGAACGGTAGTTTCTGATCCGAACGTTTTTTTCGCTTGATTTTGTTTTCTTTTTACGCTCTGTGTTTTTTCTTATTTTTCATTTTTTTTTGATTACCCGAGATTGGAAATATACCCAAAATGCAGAAAACAGATCCGAACGGCAAAAAGTGCTCTAGAGCACTTTTTCCAATCCGTTTCCCAAAAACCTGGCTTTTTAGAAACAAATCATTTTTTTCCAGTCTAGAAAGATCTACCAGGTAGTTAATTTTGCAATATTTTTCATAGCTATATTAAATATCCAGAAGGTACCACAATCCAACAGACCAAATCTCGCCTCAAGCAGCGTGATCATGGCCGAGTGATTCTTCGCATGGTCCGAGGCGAGCAAACCACGGTAGTCTTTGCGCCCAGTGTGTTCGCCCGCGTTCCTGAGGTGAGACCCCACCATTTGTTTATATCTTCCCACTGGCATGTGTCCTACCAGGCCAATGACTGCTGTTGCTGAGCCAAATCGTTTCCCAACGGACCTGTTTGCCTGTGTCCCATTTAAATCTTGACTTCAGGGTTTACCCCAGTACAACAACAGACCAGTGAGACGTGCAAATAAAACTCCAAGACCAAGCAAACAAAGTGTGGTTGGCCGCAACGCCAAGACATATTTGTTTGTTGATTAATTAAATTAGACACCCCTGTCATGACCCCTGTTGTTTTTGCCTACGGCCCGAAAACCGGCCCAAAGTTTTTTGCGTTTTTTGCCTTGTGATATGTTGGGTGGGTAGGGTGGTAATAACGTTCTTGGTCTTCGTTTTCCTCGACTTACGTTGGACACGTCTTCTATACATTCTATACTTCGGTGGACACACTTCATGTTACGTTGGACACGTCTTCTGTACTTGCGTTGGATACGTCTTCTGTACTTTCGTGGTTGCACTTTATCTTACATTGGTCACGTCTTTTGTACTTCAGTGGGCGCACTTCATCTTACGTTGGACACGTCTTCTCTACTTCCGCGGGTGCACTTTATCTTACGTTGGACACGTCTTCTGTAATGCGGCAGATGCACTACACCTTACGTTGGACATGTCTTCTGCACTTCGGTGGGTGCACTTCATTATACGTTGGACACGTCTTCTGTACTTCGGTGGGTGCACTACATCTTACGTTGGACACGTCTTCTCTCTGCAAGTTGGCCTGAAGAGAAAAGAAGTGCTGGCGCACTGGCGAAACGCATACCCATCCAAAAATCGTAACCTTTTTAAGGGTGTCCAACATACATTTGTTGACCCCCACCGTAGTAAAACAGATTTTTCGTAGATCCGAATATAATTGCAGTACCAAAGGGCACCAAGATGATTGTAGACATGTGTCAAATGCCAGGTTTTGAGCAGAAAGAAACAAGACCGACCTTAAAAAATGATGAAAACGCTGGGCCATACGGTTGTTTTTTGTTCGATATCCATGCTCATCATTCTTGGTTATCTTGGCATCTCTGCCAATCGTTCCGCGTTTGAACCCCCCATTGTTGTTGGTTAAACATATGGGTGACCTAACGAAGACACATTGTTTTCATGCCACCGCTGGAATTCGCTGGAGTCCAAGCCATCGGAGTCCAAGCCGTCGGTATGCACAGGCAAGAAGCCTATGTCGCCTTGGCAGCTTCGGCTTCGCGACGTTTCTGGGAATCTTCCATATCCTTGTCTTTCTTCCAGGTGCCTGCTTGGATTTGCTGAAGGGGTCCCCCCAAAACTAGACGACGGATGGCCCGAGAGCGTAGAGGAGCAGGGTCTTCTCTTGTTAGTATAGAGACACAAAATTACAAACAATATATTAAAGATGTGTTATAGGCAGTCGAGAAGAGGAGTATCAAGACAAAATAACAGAAGTGCAAGACAATAGTTTGCATCGCAAACACTTTTACACACAGAAGCTTTTACACACAGACGCTTTACACACAAAAGCTTTTACACACCGAAGCTTTTACACACAGAAGCTTTTACACACAAAAGCTTTCACACACAGAAGCGTTTACAGACAGACACTTTCACACACAGACCCTTTTACACACAGACGCTTGTACACACAAAAGCTTTTACACACAGACGCTTTTACACAGACGCTTTTACACACAAAGCTTTTACCCACAGAAGCTTTTACAGACAGAAGCTTTTACACACAGACGCTTTTACACAGATGCTTTTACACACAGACACTTTTACACACAGACACTTTTACACACAGACACTTTTAACAAAGACCCTTTTACACACAGGAGCTTTTACACACAGAAGCGTTTACACGCAGACGCTTTTACACACAAAAACTTTTACACACAGAAGCTTTTACACATAGACGCTTTGACACAGAGGCACTTTTACACACAAACACTTTTACATACAAACACTCTTACACACAAACACTTTTACACACAAACACTTTTACACACAGACGCTTTTACACGCAGAAGCTTTTACGCGCAGACGCTTTTACACACAGAAGCTTTTACACACAAACGCTTTTACACACAAACGCTTTTACACACAAGCACTTTTACACACAATCACTTTTACATACAGACGCTTTTACACACAGACGCTTTTACACACAGGCCGGCCCATGTTCACGCAGTCACAGTGAAGTCATCGTTGTCGCGGCCACCTCAGCAATTCGACACTTTTACACACAGACGCTTTTACACACAGACACTTTTACACACACACGCTTTTACACACAGACACTTTTGCACACAAAAGCTTTTACACACAGACGCTTTTACACACAGACACTTATACACACAGACGCTTTTACACACAAACGCTTTTACACACAGAAGCTTTTACACACAGACGCGTTTACACATAGACGCTTTTACACACAGATGCTTGCACACACGCAGTTACACACAGACGCTTTTACACACAGACGCTTTTACACACAGACGCTTTTACACACACACATGCGTTTGCACACAGACGCTTTTACACACAGACGCTTTTACACACAGACGCGTTTACACACAGACGCTTTTACACACAGACGCTTTTACACACAGACGCTTTTACACACAAACACTTTGACACACAGACACTTTTGCATACAAAAGCTTTTACACACAGACGCTTGCACACACGCACACACAAACGCTTTCACACACAAACGCCTTTACAGACAAACACTTTTACACACAGACACTTTTGCACACAAAAGCTTTTACACACAGCCATTTTTACACACAAACGCTTTTACACTTAGACGCTTTTACACACAGACGCGTTTATACACAGACGCGTTTACACACACAGACGCTTTTACATACAGACGCTTTTACATAGAGACGCTTTTACACACAAACGCTTGCACACACACAAAAGCTTTTACACACAGACGCTTTTACACACAGACGCTTTTACACACAGACGCTTTTACACACAGACGCTTTTACACACAGACGCGTTTACACACAGACGCTTTTACACACAGACGCTTTTACACACAGACGCTTTTACACACAAACACTTTGACACACAGACACTTTTACACACAGACGCTTTTACACACAGACGCGTTTACACACAGACGCTTTTACACACAGACGCTTTTACACACAGACGCTTTTACACACAAACACTTTGACACACAGACACTTTTGCACACAAAAGCTTTTACACACAGACGCTTGCACACACACACACAAACGCTTTCACACACAAACGCCTTTACACACAAACACTTTTACACACAGACACTCAGTTTTTGACGATCGAACCTCGTTTCGTGCGAAAGGGTTACGGCGGACACCTTGAAATCGCAATTTTACCTCAGTTTTTGGCGATCGAACCTCATTTCGTGCGCAAAGGTTGCGCGGGACAAGTAGAAATCGCAATTTGACCTCAGTTTTTGACGATCGAACCTCATTTCGTGCGCAAGGGTTGCGCGGGACAAGTAGAAATCGCAATTTTACCTCAGTTTTTGGCGATCGAACGTAATTTCGTGCGAAAGTGTTCGCAACCTTTCGCGGGACAAGTGAAATCGCAATTTTACCTCAGTTTTTGACGATCGAACCTCGTTTCGTGCGAAAGGGTTGCGCCGGACAAGTTGAAATCGCAATTTTACTCCAGTTTTTGACGATCGAACCTCGTTTCGTGCGAAAGGGTTGCGGCGGACACCTTGAAGTCGCAATTTTACCCTCAGTTTTTGACGATCGAACCTCGTTTCGTGCGAAAGGGTTGCGCGGGACGACTTGAACTCGCACTTTTACCTCAGTTCTTGGCGATCGAACCTCATTTCGTGCGAAAGGGTTGCGCGGGACGACTTGAACTTGAACTTTTACCTCAGTTTTTGACGATCGAACCTCATGTCGTGCGAAAGGGTTGCGCGGGACCGGTGGAAATCGCAATTTTACCTCAGTTTTTGGCGATCGAACCTCATTTCGTGCGAAAGGGTTGCGTTTCGTGCCGTCTCGTTGGCACTGCCCCTGCTCCCGCCTTGAGGGCAAGAGGGCAAGAGGAGAAGATGTGAGATGAGAAGATGTGAAGATGAGAAGATGTGAGAAGATGTGAGAAGATGTGAGAAGATGTGAAGATGAGAAGATGTGAAGATGTGAGAAGATGAGAAAATGTGAGAAGATGTGAAGATGAGAAGATGTGAAGATGAGAAGATGTGAAGATGAGAAGATGAGGAGAAGATGGAAAGATGAGGAGAAGATGTGAGGATGAGAAGATGTGAAGATGAGAAGATGTGAAGATGAGAAGATGAGGAGAAGATGTGAGGATGAGAAGATGTGAAGATGAGAAGATGTGAAGATGAGAAGATGTGAAGATGAGAAGATGTGAAGATGAGAAGATGTTTTAGAGACCCCCACTATTGGAAGAACCCTGCGCTCAGACGCTCTGAACCTTATAATCCCACTAGAGACCAAAATCCCACTTTATACCTCAAATTTTGGCACTTGAACTCGAACCTCATTTCGTGCGAAAAGGTTGCAGCGGAGGATGTAAAATCGCAATTTATACCTCAATTTTTGACACTTGAACTCGAACCTCATTTCGTGCGAAAGGGTTGCAGCGGAGGATGTAAAATCGCAATTTATACCTCAATTTTTGACACTTGAACTCGAACCTCATTTCGTGCGAAAAGGTTGCAGCGGAGGATGTAAAATCGCAATTTATACCTCAATTTTTGACACTTGAACTCGAACCTCATTTCGTGCGAAAAGGTTGCAGCGGAGGATGTAAAATCGCAATTTATACCTCAATTTTTGACACTTGAACTCGAACCTCATTTCGTGCGAAAAGGTTGCAGCGGAGGATGTAAAATCGCAATTTATACCTCAATTTTTTACGCTTGTGAACTCGAACCTCATTTCGTGCGAAAGGGTTGCAGCGGGGGATGTATATACAATCGCAATTTATACCTCAATTTTTGACACTTGAACTCGAACCTCATTTCGTGCGAAAGGGTTGCAGCGGGGGATGTATATAAAATCGCAATTTATACCTCAGTTTTTGACACTTGAACTCGAACCTCATTTCGTATACGAAAAGGTGGTCATTTCGTGGCGCCTCTTCAGCACTGCCTGCAGACTTAAGAGAGAAAAGAAAAAGAAGGAGAGAGACCGTGACAGAGGGCAAAAGACAGAGAGAGAGAGAGAGAGAGACACAGAGAGAGAGAGAGAGAAGGAGAGAGAAGGGGAGAGAGAGGGATAGAGGGGAGAGAGAGAGAGAGAGACACAGAGAGAGAGAGAGAAGGAGAGAGAAGGGGAGAGAGAGGGATAGAGGGGAGAGAGAGAGAGAGAGAGAAAGAGAGAGAGAGAGAGAGGATGTGAAGATGTGAAGATGTGAAGATGAGAAGATGTGAAGATGAGAAGATGTGAAGATTTAAAGATGCGAAGATGAGAATTTGAGAAGGTGTGATGAAGATGTGAACATATGAAGATGTATAGCAGACCTCCACTTTTACAAGCACCCTTGGCTCAGACACTCTCGGGAAAAATCCCTATATAATCTCAATCTATATAGATCCCCCACATGGATCCAAATGGTGGATTTTCCGTGGGGAAAATAAGACTTACTTTCAGCAACGCCCGGCCTGCAAAGTGGTGCCCCACCATGTTCTCTGGACCCTCTGTGGGATCGTCGGCCGCGATCATTGGCGCCGCGTTCACACGGCCGGCGGCGAAGACCCACATCTTCCACTGGCCATAGCCAAAGAGACTTTCACTGGGATAGGACAAGAAGTGCGCCTCTGGGGGGTGACGTCGGATTTCGACTTCTTTCTCCACTGCGTGAGGGCTTTTCATTTCCGGAAACTCGTGGACCGCGTCGCTGAAGACGCCGGGGCCCGTCAACTCCAAGGTGCTCTCGATCTTCCAGGTGTAGCGTTGGCGAATCAACTCCAAACAGCGAAGGAGCACCGGATTGCCGGGAGCCGATGCAATGAACCATTGCTGAAACTGCTCGGTGCGGGCAAACTTGATCTGAGCTCGCTGCCATTCAGGGAAGCGATGACCAAATTCATAGCCAACGATCATGTTGGTTGCCTCTGGGAGCTTGTACTGATCGATCGGCTTGTTACATGCAACATCCACATCGGCATAGTAGCCACCCTAGTCCCACAGGACGAGGTAGCGGAAGACATCGGCGCGCTGAACGGGTTGCAACCCGTCCCACATGGGCCAAATGACCTTGGGCGAAGCCTTCTGTGCCAACTCTGCAATCTCAGTGTCATTCCAAAGTTTGTACTGGCACTTCGGATTCTTGTCTTTCCAAGTTTGTGCCCACTTCGCTTCTTGCTCCTTGAGGGTATGCGTCTTGGAGGTTTGGTGGATGACACAAGGAATAGCTTTGCAGCTTTGCTTGCCTTGTTCTCCAGTGCATGCTTGAAGTCAAGCCGACTCATCATACCACTGGCGCTTCGAAGATCGGTTTGCAATATTGCGTTGCACTCCTCCGCCACTGCTGTGCTGCAGGCTGCGGAAAAGGCGAGGGAAAGGAAAAACATCGGAGACATTGTTAGAGAATGGTGAGTACACAGCGAACATGTATCAAGAATTTGCTTGAGCCACAAATAAAAAATGTTTGCAATTACACTAAAATAAAGAGAGTGGGACGCCACCAGGTCCCAAAAAATACGTGGTTTTAAGCGATTTGTTGACTATTTTATGCTTCTTTTTCCTCTTTTGATCATATATGAAAGATCAAAGTTCTTGGGAGATGTACTGTTTTTGGTTTGTTAATCCTTAGCTCTATTCTTGGTTGCTTGCTTTTTGTAGCTCTATTGTTTTTTTGATAGGTGGTCTTAGCGCATGAATGACAAAGCTCTTTGCCCAACAACATCTTGAAACATCGAGATTCATTGCGTCAGTTGGTACTTCATGTATATATTAATGTATAGGTACTACCTAGGTATACAGCTATTGCAAAGACAGTATTTATATACATATACGTAGCACTTTGTATTTGCATTGGTGGTTTTTGATATTGGATTGCCAGGTCGCCTTTTGGTTGACATCATAGTTCCAGTGGAAATCGTTTAGCAAATGAAAGTGCAAATTCCAATCTACCCTCCCTCCTCAAGTAGTTGCATTTGTTTGCATACTTCATGGTAACTTGCTGCATCAATGCACAAGCAAGGCAGCCATTCTATAGATACAGTTGTTTGGTAAGGTTGCTTAAGTGTTTCCTTTACTTGGTCTTGTGCCCTTCTGGTTACCATGATGAACTTATACTGACATAGTTTAAGTTTTGCCCACAGCCATGAGTACAGTTTTGGCAATAAAATGTCTGCCGTTATATTTGCAGTGACATAGCAAATTACCATGGAATATGCAGGTAAAAACGCCTTTTCTGAAGCAAAGCGGAAATGGAAGTGCCCCTGGAATTTGCCAACTCTTGTCATCAATCGATATTTTAAGCAAAGATCTTTTACTGCATTGAAACCTGGAAGAATACCATTGCATACGCAGGAAAAATGTAGAAAACTTGTCTGTAAAGGCATAGGTGACTTATATGCCACCCATTCCATAACTGTATGTACTATATAAGAAAAATGTATATATAAAATAGTTGCATTCTAAGTGCAAATGCAGCTTGGGTGTGTTGACACAGCAAATGGCTATGGTATCTGCAAAAAAAATGCTTTTATCACAAAATACCCTCTATATATCAGTGCATGTTCGAAGCTGCCATTTGTACTGTATATATACTGATAATGCACACTTGTGACAATGCGCTTGCATACTGGTTGAAACCATTCACCCACTAAAGCACAAACAACCCCTGAAACTTTTCATACAGTGTATAAATTAAAAATTAAGAACGAGAGTGAGTATTGATCAAAAGGATGGATAAGGGACCCCTTTCCATATGAATGCATTCTGGGAGCTGCTACTTCCTAGTTCAAGGTGTTATGTCATAGCTGTCTTCTGTCAAGTTTTATAAACAGTCTGACCTCTTTTTAGGTGTTACTCATCCTGTCATAAAAGATCATAAAAGCACAGCCAAGCAATTATGGTAACAGGCAGTGGCATAGCAAATTACCGTGAAGAGGCTATGTACGTAGGAGGGCTAGGGGAGGGGAGAAGCTCAAAAAGAAAAACTTCTTTTCCTTGGCCACCTCTCCCCCTAAGCCATATATATATATACACACACTATGTTTGTTTTTCCTCCTTCCTTTTCCCTGGGAATCTTCATGACTCTCTGGACATTCTTTGGCAACCTCTGATGAAGTCTGACAATCTGTGTGGATCTCTTGCAATACCATCACAGGTATATGAACATAAATGATCGAACATGATGTAGCAGAAACACTGCATTCCCAGAAACGTGGAAAAATGGGGACCTGACAGCGTCCTTTTCTGAATAAACATGATGACAACATATAGTCAATGCAAAGAAAGGGTAGTGCTTCCTAGCTGGAAGTTGGTCACGTCTTTTGTACTTCAGTGGGCACGCTTCATCCTACGTTGGACACGTCTTCTCTACTTCCGTGGGTGCACTTTATCTTACGTTGGACACGTCTTCTGTACTTCGGCAGATGCACGCACTAATATATGCACTATATGCACTACATCTTACGTTGAACATGTCTTCTGCACTTCGGTGGGTGCACTTCATTATACGTTGGACACGTCTTCTGTACTTCGGTGGGCGCACTACATCTTACGTTGGACACGTATTCTCTCTGCAAGTTGGCCTGAAGAGAAAAGAAGTGCTGGCGCCTGGCGCACTGGCGAAACGCATACCCATCCAAAAAACGTAACCTTTTTAGGGGTGTCCAACATACATTTGTTGACCCCCACCGTAGTAAAACAGATTTTTCGTAGATCCGAATATAATTGCAGTACCAAAGGGCGCCAAGATGATTGTAGACATGTGTCAAACGCCAGGTTTTGAGCAGAAAAAAACAAGACTGACCTTAAAAAATGATGAAAACGCTGGGCCATACGGTTGTTTTTTGTTCGATATCCATGCTCATCATTCTTGGTTATCTTGGCATCTCTGCCAAGCGTTCCGCGTTTGAACCCCCCATTGTTGTTGGTTAAACATGGGTGACCTAACGAAGACACATTTTTTTCATGCCACCGCAAGAATTCGCCGGAGTCCAAGCCATCGGAGTCCAAGCCGTCGGTATGCACAGGCAAGAAGCCTATGTCGCCTTGGCAGCTTCGGCTTCGCGACGTTTCTGGGAATCTTCCATATCCTTGTCTTTCTTCCAGGAGCCTGCTTGGATTTGCTGAAGGGGTCCCCCACCCCAAAAAAAGTAGACGACGGATGGCCCGAGAGCGTACAGGAGCATAGTGAGAGGTATAAGTATGAAGATCTAATAGCATGAAACGTAACATAAATATAGAAATATACGATGATGCGTATAATGAGGAGGCATGGTACAGGCATGTTGTGAAAAGATGTGAAAAGTAGGTTCATATGAAGAAATTGAAGGAGAAAGAAAAGAAAGATGAAACGAAGGAGACGCAGGAAGAAACATTGGGACAAACATTTTTCCATACAAGCATGCTGATACATACAAACATGCCTCACACACAACTGTGATTTTACACAGAGCATCACAGAGCTTCTTTACCGCACCAGCACTTTACACACAATCACTTTTCCGCACAAAAACTGTTACACACACAAACACGTTTACACACACACACACGTTTTACAAAAACGCTTTTACACAGAGACCCTTTTACACAAAAACATTTTTATACACAAACACGTTTACACGCAAACCCTTTTACACACAACACACAAACACTTTTACACACAACCCTTGTTACACAGAAACACATTTACACACAAACACTTTTACACACAGACGCTTTTACACAGAGACGCAGAAAAATATCGGATTACAGGTGTGTTGTATGCTAAAGAAAAGAACATGCTGCAGATGATCAGCAGAAAGAAGATAGAGATGACATGTGAAGATTCTAAGCTGAAATCTGACGAGGTGCATAGGAAGAGTTTTATGTGCAGACATTTTTACACGCACACACTTTTACTCTACGCACACAAGCTTTTATACACAAATGCATTCGCAGACGGACACACACACAGACGCGAACCGCTATGACAGACACATACACACACATGGTGAGACGAATACACACACACAGACAGACGCATACAAAACACATGCGCACATACACACACACACACACTTTTTTACACAAAGATGCATTTATACATAGGACGCTTTTAAAATCTTTTAAACATGCACACTTCTATAACCAAAGACACTTTTAAACATAGACGCTGTTAGACACAACATGACACAAACAATAATACACACAGATGCTTTTACATCCAAACGTTTTAAACACAAACCCACACACACAAATGAACACACGCACCAACACACACAAACACATGCACACACTCGACAAAATTGGATCTTTGAAGAGATCCGTCGGGAACTGAGTCCCTTAACGTGCAATTAGACTAGTTACATGTATATATATATATGGGACTGAGGTGACCACCAGCTGAGACTTATATGCGCCCAGGTGCGCCACCCCAGTCCCGCAGGTACGTTTACACGGGTCCCGGGGAGGTGTCTTCATTGGTCACCGACATCCCCGGGACCCCGGTGACCCCCTGTATTAAAATATATTACAATTTGATGAATGGTCGAAATTTTACGTCTATACATACGTTACACACACACACACCCTGCCTTTGGCAGGGTGGTGTTTGTGCAAATGAGGTGAAGGTGAGGATGAAGGGGGAATGAAGGTGAGATGAACATGAAAATGAGATGAAAGATTACTTAATCAGAACGCGAAGAGGGGAACGCGAAAGAAGAGGGAGAAAACACACACCAACACACCTGGCCCGGAGCGGGCCAACCCTGAAAGGGCAAGGGAAAAGAAAAGCAGAGGGCCGACGGACACGGAACAAGACCAGCGGAGGGGGGGGAAGACGGAAGCGCCTGAACCAACCTGACACAGCGAAAACCTACACCAACCTCAGCACGCGACGGGCCCGACCTACCTGGGGAGGGAAGAACGCATGAAATAGGGGACCAATGGGGGTATAGTTGGTGAACAAGGAAAACCAACAACAAAATTAGGGGGACACAGTTCCACCTACAACAAAGGTCGTGCGTTACTCCTCTTCGGGACCGTAGTCAGGTCGTGCCGTAATGGCATAAACGGCTGTTCAAGTTCCATCGAATTGGATGCACAAAATGTTCAACCTCACCAGAAACCATCAAAGGAAGAAAAACCACACCTAAAGGTCATGTGCCTGCCTGGCATTCATGTCGTGTTGTACTTCAAATGCTGAAGCTGCAGCGAAAAGAATGAAGTTTCTGCATGTTCAAAACGGCTTCACAGTCGTAGAAGTTCAGTTGCCAGGGTTCACTGGGACAGCATGACCAGCGGGACATCGCAAAATGGTGCAGAACCGAAAGGCCGACTGTTTCGTATTACTGAGCTGAATTACCACATTAAAAGTGTCAATTCAGTAATGCGGTCAGTCGACATTCACCCTAAAAAGGGTTGCCTCCAGTGGCCCTATGGCACCTTGTCGGAGTCACCATAGGTATTACACTAGACAAAATTGGATCTTTGAAGAGATCCGTCGGGAACTGAGTCCCTTAACGTGCAATTAGACTAGTTGCATGTATATATATATATAATATATGGGACTGAGGTGACCACCAGCTGAGACTTATATGCGCCCAGGTGCGCCACCCCAGTCCCGCAGGTACGTTTACCCCTGCATAAAATATGTATTATAATAATGTTGCCTAGCCAATAGTGATATCTTGTCAATAGTAGAAACATTTTTCCGCAACTCCAATTTTTCTCCAATACTAAAAGTCGATTAGCTCCATTTACTTTTAGTATTGCCAAAAGAGTCATGTTCAGACCTTGTCCAGAGGGCATGGCCAATAGTGGACCCAACATGGCAATAGTGGAAACCGTTTTCCCAACTCCAATTTTTTCTCCAATACTAAAAGTCACTTAGCTCCATTTACTTTTAGTATTGCCAAAAGAGTCAAGTAAAGCAAATCCTTTTCAAAGCAGCCTTCACTTTTGATTAGCAAAAGCTTAGATTCCAGAAATCTGATCCAATTACCAAACAGCTGATTTCCTTATAAAACCCTTATTAAAAAAGCAAGAAAACAGGTCCACAAAGGGTACCCCCTTTGCAAGCCCCAGAATAGCAATAACAAACCTGCACCAGGCATGGCAATAGTGGAAACTTTTTTCCGCAACTCCAATTTTGTTGTCCTCCTTCTCCTTCTCCTTCTCCTCCTTCTCCTTTCCCAACTCTTCGCCAATCTCTCAGAAACCCAACCAAAACCATTCCGAATCTATCAGAAACCCAACAAAACCATGGAGAATCTATCAGATACATATCATGATCCCAGCTATAAGGTTCCAAAAGATTACTATTGGAATGCTGACCCCCCCTAGTTTTTTTTAAATACTTTATTTAGGGGGGATTTACTATTAGGCAGCCTACATTATGATGAATGGGCGAAGTTTTACGTCTATACAGACGTTACACACACACACACACAGACACACACACAGACAGCACACTTGCACACGCGCACGCGCACACGCGCACACATAGTCACACACACACACGCGGACACACACACACACACACGATCCTTTTACACACATACACTTTTACGCACAGACGTTTTTACACAGAAACGCTTTTACACACAGACCCTTTCACACACACAAACTCTTTTACACAAAATCCGTTTACACATATACGCTTTTACAGACGAACCCTTTCGCACACACCGACTTCTACACTCGAACCTCGTTTTGTGGGAAAGGGTTGCCGCCGGACAACACTCGAACCTCGTTTCGTGCGAAAGGGTTGCTGCAAACACCGTAAAATCGCAATTTTAAATCAGTTTTAATTTGACACTCGAACCTCATTTCGTGCGAAAAGACTGCCGCCGGACCAACCAAACTCGGAAAAAACCATCAGTTTTTGATACTCGAACCTAGATTCGTGCGAAAGGGTTGCCGCCAGACCAACCAAACTGGCAAAAAAACATCAGTTTTTTAAATTCGAACCTCATTTCGTGCGGAAGGGTTGCAGCGTAAATGTAAAATCGCAATTTATACCTCAATTTTTGACACTTGAACTCGAACCTCATTTCGTGCGAAAAGGTTGCAGCGGAGGATGTAAAATCGCAATTTATACCTCAATTGTTGACACTTGAACTCGAACCTCATTTCGTGCGAAAGGGTCGCAGCGTAAATGTAAAATCGCAATTTATACCTCAATTTTGGGCACTTGAACTCGAACCTCATTTCGTACGAAAAGGTTGCAGCGGGGGATGTATATAAAATCGCAGTTTATACCTCAATTTTTGGCACTTGGACTCGAACCTCATTTCGTACGAAAAGGTTGCAGCGGAGGATGTATATAAAATCGCAATTTATACCTCAATTTTTGACACTTGAACCCGAACCTCATTTCGTACGAAAAGGTGGTCATTTTGTGGCGCCTCTTCGGCACTGCCTGCAGACTTAAGAGAGAAAAGAAAAAGAAGGAGAGAGACCGTGACAGAGGGCAAAAGACAGAGAGAGAGCGAGAGAGAGGGAGAGAGAGACACAGAGAGAGAGAGAGAGAAGGAGAGAGAAAGGGAGAGAGAGGGAGAGAGAGACACAGAGAGAGAGAGAGAGAGAAAGAGAGAGAGAGAGAGGATGTGAAGATGCGAAGATGAGAAGATGTGAAGATTGAAAGATGCAAAGATGTGAAGATGAGAATTTGAGAAGATGTGATGACGATGTGAACATATGAAGATGTATAGCAGACCTCCACTTTTACAAGCACCCTTGGCTCAGACGCTCTCGGGAAAAATCCCTATATAATCTCAATCTATATAGATCCCCCACATGGATCCAAATGGTGGATTTTCTGTGTAGAAAATAAGACTCACTTTCAGCAACGCCCGGCCTGCAAAGTGGTGCTCCACCATGTTCTCCGGACCCTCTGTGGGATCGTCGGCCCTGATCATTGGCGCCGCGTTCACACGGCCGGCGGCGAAGACCCACATCTTCCACTCGCCGTAGCCAAAGAGACTCTCACTGGGATAGGACAAGAAGTGCGCCTCTGGGGGGTGACGTCGGATCTCGACTTCGTTCTCCACTGCGTGAGGGCTTTTCATTTCCAGAAACTCGTGGACCGCGTCGCTGAAGACGCCGGGGCCCGTCAACTCCAAAGTGCTCTCGATCTTCCAGGTGTAGCGTTGCCGGATCAACTCCAAACAGCGAAGGAGCACCGGATTGCCGGGAGCCGATGCAATGAACCATTGCTGAAACTGCTCGGTGCGGGCAAACTTGATCTGAGCTCGCTGCCATTCAGGGAAGCGATGACCAAATTCATAGCCAACGATCATGTTGGTTGTCTCTGGGAGCTTGTACTGATCGATTGGCTTGTTACATGCAACATCCACATCGGCACAGTAGCCACCCTGGTCCCACAGGACGAGGTAGCGGAAGACATCGGCGCGCTGAACGGGTTGCAACCCGTCCCAGATGGGCCAAATGACCTTGGGCGAAGCCTTCTGTGCCAACTCTGCAATCTCAGTGTCATTCCAAAGTTTGTACTGGCACTTCGGATTCTTGTCTTTCCAAGTTTGTGCCCACTTCGCTTCTTGCTCCTTGAGGGTATGCGTCTTGGAGGTTTGGTGGATGACACAAGGAATAGCTTTGCTTGCCTTGTTCTCCAGCGCATGCTTGAAGTCAAGCCGGCTCATCATACCACTGGCGCTTCGAAGATCGGTTTGCAACATTGCGTTGCACTCGTCCGCCACTGCTGTGCTGCAGGCGGCGGAAAAGGCGAGGGAAAAGAAAAACATCGGAGACATTGTTAGAGAACGGTGAGTGCACAGCGAACATGTATCAAGAATTTGCTTGAGACACAAATAAAAAATGTTTGCAATTACACTAAAATAAACATGATGACAACATATAGTCAATGCAAAGAAAGGGTAGTGCTTCCTATCTGGAAGTTGGCTTGTATTCATCCGTTTCCCCTACAAATGTTTACAAGTTATACACACGTATATATATATATATATATATATAAATATTTATTTATCTAATCGGTATCCTCCAGTTGGCTGGCTTGGAAATCCGAAAAAAATCAGATGGCATATTTTTAAATGGGAAAACCATTTTATGACTAGAGGATTGTAATTATGGGATTTACCACGGTTTTCTGCATGTTGTGCTGTGGATCTTCCGGCCAAGCCACAGCAACTGCTTGGCAACACCCTGATGGCCATGTTTGGCTGCCCACATCAGGGCGGTCATGCCCTTCTCCTTGGCAAATCGTTAGTGCCGGAGGAGAACAGCTGGGTGAATGACGATTCCCAACTGATTACCCTCTGGTATAAGCTACCATAACTATTGGAGAGATCCACCATTTTGAATGGGTAAATCAACTATTATGACCATTTTCAATATCTATGATAGTTTACCACAGGGTATATCTTTTAGGGGGAAACTACTAAGATCTTTTCCCTGGTGTTTTTGAGACATGGTGCTGAAATGTTTGTTGTCCGTCCCTTGTGGGACAAAGCCGGCAACATCAACCCCCTTTTCACCACGGTTCTCCAACTCATGCGATTGGCTGCGCAGCCCCAAAAAACATATCTCTTCCAGGTGGGGTTTCATTTGAGGTTGTTTTATTTATAATGGGATGGGGTAAAGGAATTCAGTTTGCCTAAACGGACTAATTCTAGAACCATATATAGAAGCGTCCAGTGATTTACCGATAATTTGAATAATCAAGGGATCATACGGTACGCTGAAATCAACCCATGAAATCACTCCTAAATCTTCATGTAGCATCATATAATATACATATACATCTCTCTAAGTTAAGTATTATATCATATATTCCATCAGGTTCTTCCTGAGTATAACTATTGGTATTTTTTTAAAAAAAAGAATGCAGATATATCACTTCTTTCCCCCGGGGTTTCCCCGGGTTTCATAACGTCCTGCCAGGCCACGTCGCGCGCGTAGATGTCGCAGGTGGCCTGGATCAGCAGCTGGGCGACCTCGGAATGGCCCACAATGGCGGCCCACATCAGCGGCGTCCAGCCGTTCCTCGGTCGAACTGCGGTGTTTACCAAGGGATCCCGGTGGAAGATCAACTTATATGGTGTAGACTTGTTTATAATATGGGTTTTTGTAAAAAAAATAGTTCTAGGTTTCATGCAGGTGTTCTCTTCGATTTTGGCGTTGACGAACAAATAATCAAGGACAAAGTTGATCGAACCAACTAGTGCCTTTACTGCCTTCAAACATATCAGACTTGTTTGTTGCACCGACTTGCTGCTTCCCTACTCAGAACGACCGTGAAGGCTAGAAATGGTTTCTCCGTCCTATCACTCCGGGGCCAAGAGTCTTGTTCTTACCATTGATGTTGACCTGGCAGCTTGGGATCAAATCCTTGTGCACAAGTTTCATGGCATTGGTCACAATGGCGCTTACCGAATTGCAATCGTCATGCTTTTCCCATCTGAAATTCCAGCCCAATTTTGCAAAGCACTTTGCAAATTGAGACAGGCCATAAGCCCACTGCATGGTATG